GTTAATTCGTCCGTTGTAGTACGAATTGACAGATATTCAATCAGTCCCTGCAAATAGGTTAAGATCTGAAAACTTTTCAGTTCCATGTTATTGAATTTTCAGTTACACGTTATTGAATTTTGAATTTTCAATAAGAATACTGAAAATTCAATCACAATGTGCATGAATTTATTTTCAACTACCAAAAACTGAATTTTCAGTTACAAAACTTACTGAAAAGTAACTGAATTTTCAACTTATTTTTAACAATGTATGTCGTCCGCGTATCTGAGATGTGTTAATCTCTCGCCGTCGATGATGGCTCCCTTTTCTGACCAGTCTAATTTCTTGAAAATTCCTTTTAGGGCCAGGGTAAACAGTTTGGGTGAGATTCTGTTGCTCTGTTTGATTCCTCTTTGCACGGCAAAGAAATCTGTTGTTTCGTGTATTCTCACTGCCGCTTTCGCGTTTTTGTGAATCTCTTCCAGTACGTTTGTGTATCTAGGGTCGACATGGGCCAGCCCTAGCTCGCTTAGAATTGCCAAATGTTCAATAAAATCAAAGGCCTTCTCGTAAACTATGAACGCTGAGTATTATGGCATGTTGCATTCTGTCATTTTCTCATTTATAATTTTGAAGGTCAATAGATGTTCGCATGGGATGAAGCTCTTTTAAATGCCGCCTGTTCTACAGGTTGATAATCATCGAGTTTGCTACTCATTCTGTTAACGATGATTCTCGTGAGCAATTTATAGATGTATGAAAGCAAACAAATTGACCTATAATACGGAAGAAGTGTCGGGTCTCCTTTCTTGTAGAGTAGGGTAATTATGGGTTCGTTCCAGGTTTCAGGTATTTCTTGGGTTTCAAAACAAGTGTTGAAAAGTGTCTTTAGCTTGTGGACGATTGTTTCTTCTGCCTCCTTAATCATTTCTATAATTATGACATCGCGTCCAGGGGCCCTGCTATATTTTGATGATTTAAGAGCATGTTGTATTTCCTCCTCTGTTATTTCGGGGATGTCGTCCGACCCCACATTTCTCACTTTCTTAAATCTAATCGTTTCTGGTTTCTCTATTTGTGAGGTGTATAGACCTTGGTAAAATTCCTTGGTGATCTTTGGGATTTCCTTCTTATTTCTGGTTTCTCGGTGCACGGAGTCTTTTAGGGGTTCGCCGTTGTTTTTCCGTTGTCATCTCATGTTCTTATTATTTTCGATTGCATTTTCTACTTCTGTTATGCAGTTTCCTTCCCAATCCTTGCGTATAATTTTTCTTGCTTCTCTTCTGATTTCGCGGTATTCTTCTGTGTTTTTGGCCTTCGCCGTACAAGCTCCTTTTTTTTCTATCAGTTGAATCTTTTCTGCTCTTAGTTTGTTTGTTTTTCTCTATTTCTTTTTTGCGATATTGAGTACAGTTTCTTTAATTATCGTTGTTAGGTGTGTTGCCACTTCATGTATATTTGTTGGGCTTATATTTTCGCTTAATTTGTTCCGGTGTAGCTTTGAATGTATTTGATCATTCTTGGGTGTATTAGGAAACCTACTCCTCTTTGACTTTCGTTTTCCTTTATGGAAAGGGTTTTTAGGATGTATTGTGCCACGCCATCCTATTGCGAGTTGGCGAAATCAAGTATTTTGGGAAGGAAAAATTTGGGTTTGGATGGACGAATGGAGAGAGGACAATGGTTTCCCCCGTATGGTCTTGGAAGATAAACCAAGGCTCGCGTGGGCAGGGGTGCGTCCCTGAAGTAGATCTATCGTCTATGGGGAATATAAATAAGTATCTACTCGTTACCCAATATTGTTTTGTAAATTGACTTCATATCGCTAAAATCGTTACCTTTTACATGTTCTAAGTTTAATGGAACAATGGCAAAAAGTGATATTGAAGAAAATACTCGCACATGACAAAGTTCAAGTTGGTAAAACTCAATTTAAAACTTATTTTTATAGGAAGTCTTTAATGTCAGAAAATGTGAAGCAAAGAGAAATTAAATTTTCGAAAAACGCTTTGTAGACTGACTTTCAAGTTTTGGAACGTATATTTAACGAACTTCCTTTGAACCCTTTTAAAAACATTCAGACTACCCATATCAGATCTGAGTTGTCATATTAAAACATTAAAATTTGTCACCTGCTTAAACAATAATCACCATACAAAATGAAATTACTCTAGAGTAATTTCGTTACAAATATATCTCGAATAGCAAGTCAAGTAATGGCAAGCTGGGGGAATTCATAAATACGCTGTGCGAAATGCCGCTGCTTCATATAAATGTAAAAATATGGAATAACTAATTGATAGAAATCATACATTATGTATAACTGCCCCCGTTATTAGGTTACTCGTAACAAAGTTGGGAATTCGAATAGTACAAACGAACCAAACAGAAAAACTTCATTAATTTTTATAACCTGGGAAGTCCTTCCGAAGTATAAGCTTCCCACTTGCTTTCTTTGGGGATTAGACCCTGTTGATTTATTCAGGAGAAACTGGATTTATCGGAATTTAAAGGCATAACGGAAAAATATTAGTGTTTCTTGTTGACTGACCCATTTCCGTGGGCCTGAGCGATATAGAAGCGAATGAGAAAAATCAATTGGCGCGAACAAAGAGGAAATAACAAAAATGTAAACGCCCTCGAATAAACCAAATTTCATTTCAGGTGTCTTGGTGGTTTGATGGACAGCTTTTGCAAAACAATACCAGCATAGCTCCAGGAATGCGTTTAATTTACTTCATCGAGGAGGGCAGTGAAAATAAGAAGAGCGAACTATTCATCAGCAACGCCAATGTTGAAGATAATGGCACTTATGTGTGTCATGCGGAAAATGCCGCTGGAAGTGCCCAATCGAACTTCACCATTAAAATAGTGCTGAAAGAAGAACCCATAGTGATCATAGTGTCGTTTCCGATCGAATATTTAATGTTCGCTGTGATCGGTGTTGCGGTGATTCTCATTCTAGTGCTCTTCATAGTGATTGCTTGTCTGATCAGGTGCCACAAGAAAAAGAAGCGGCAGTTGAAGCGGAACCAGACCAAGGAGGTTTCATTGCATCTCCAACAAAACCAGAACGGAACCAATACGGAAAAAACTTGGGGTAAGCGAAACACCTAAATATTCTGTTTCTTCCTGTTTCAACGTCGAAAATCTCGTAAATCCGACGATGTTGCAACTCATTACTCGGTAAACGTAAAATTTATCACTTGACGAGACCAAATGTAATATCATCAGAAAATTTAATACAGATGTGACAAGCTTCAGCGCATTTTATGGACCTTTATGTCCAAGGCTCTTATTTAGTGCTTTCGGAAATTGGTAAATCGATGGGAACGGAGTTATGTTTCAGTTTGATTTGTTGATTAAGTAGTTGGGAAAATCGTTTAGCTGTTGGAGCAAAGTGTGAAGTGCTTATTAATCATGTGGAAGTTGTACCAAATGTTCGCACTGCCTGTTTCAAAAATGGAGTCCATATTGCAAGTAAGCTCAAAACGAAATTGGCATAAACATTTCAGATTAAACATTACGAACTCCTGATGCGGTGGATAATATCTTGAAGGCGAGGCAAACGGTTTTCCCGACAGAGTTTCGTCTAAATTGCATTTTCGGTTAGTCGAATCTCTTACGGGATACTTAATTATTCAGCGTAAGCCGGCGAAACTGACACTGATTTACCCTTTCTTAAGTACCTACCCCAAATCATGTCACACGATTTTCCAATAAATTCGGGTATTTTTCGCAGCAAAATCAATATCCTCATCCCCTCTGGATCAACAAATGAAGCAAAATTTGACACCGTCTACTCAAACCACAACATGCACTGCCGAAGCTGAAGAAGTGGTACTGTTTGGAATCAGGGCCTGTGAAGATCAATATGCCAACCATTTATCACCTATTAGAAGTAGTAGAAATCAAGCTGTTAGTCCCATTTCTTTGAGAAGGTAAGTGCAATGGTTCATTATGGAAAATTTGAGAAATAGAAAATTGTTGCCCACGATTGAAAACGGGAAAGCCTAGCTCAAAACGGCCTAAATTTAACTTGATAAAAGTTGTAAAGCATTACAAGAAAAATACAACTTAATCAAATACGAACGTTTCGTCGGGATTAGTCAAAAGTTGCCTGTTTGTATTTGGAACAACTTTTAGCTGGAAGTTGCATTCAAGTTTCAATCTGAATGTCAGTTAATTTAAAGTTTTCGACAAAGATTTATGAGAAGTGGAAATTGTTGGCAAGTCGTTGAAATTGGATTGATTAATTTTAAGTTAGATTTTCATAAAATAAGAATTTTACAAGCCTGAAATGATGAAAATTAATTGACCTGCTGCCACTGTCTAGGCCACTTTTATCTCGACATTCCATTATTTAACAAGACAAATTATAATTTTTTCGATAAATTTCAATTACAGTTTTCTACAAATTACTGTTGTTCTCAGATATCAGCTAGAACAAAATCCGGACCTAATCAATGGGACTGAAAGTATAGGATGCCGACGAGCCGGAGATGGGGAAGATGTTCGTCAAATGAAAGAAGAAAATTTATCAATGCCATCCGGTGTAACTTGCATTCGGAATCCTGGGGAGTTTTATGCAGGCGACCAAGGAACTTTAGGTAATTTTGACCTATGGAGCTTATCAACATTTATCTCAAATGCATGCGTCTAGAGTAAAGCAGCATAATGCGTGAAGATTTATGTGGAACTCGTCACTGCTGATTAATATTTCAGTACAACATTCTATCAAAATTCCCCCACATCTATATTTTGCTGCTAATGCTTTTTTCAGACCGAAGGGTTCAATGGAAATGCTCATACTTTACAGACGCGTTCACTCCAGAGTTAAATATCGGTTCATTTTTCACATTTATTGCATCATGACGTGTCAAAAAGGTCGTTCTCAGGAGAGTGCGAGGAAATGCAAACTTGCAAAAACCATCCTTGTATAAACACAGAGCAGAGCAAAAATTGATGACAAATAAATTGAATAGAAAAAAAAGTTGAAATCGAATTAAAAGTGTATCGTTTGGAGTTCGAAAATTTTAATACATATTGTTCAATATTTGTAAGTAGTGAAATAAAAGTTGCACTGGTATTGGAATAAAAGTTGTTTTTAAAATTCAATACATTTGATTAAAACCAATGCATAGGAAATGTGCAAATCGTATTACATGTTCTTTAAACGGTCAATCTAGAATTTTCATAGTGTAAGCTTGCAAAGCACTAAACTTTTGTCCATAATATTTTCTCTCAATCGTTCTAATCAAAGATACTGGATGAAATGTTTTGCATTTAATGTTTTAGGACAGTCTGCACACAAAAAACAATGTTTGATATTTTGTTCCTGCATACATTCATTTTTGTCTCCCACAACACACCACAGACTGTTAACTGGAATTGCGTTTATTATAATGTCGCAATGCATATACGTAAAAATACTCATTTACCAGAAACAGCAAAAGCTTGGCTCGCTGCTAGTAGGCAATAAAAATATATTTTATTGAAACTAAAGTGAGTCTGAAATTCGAAGGAGAAGTTTTTCTAAAGCTTGATAGAAACTTATCAAAGATAAGTTCCCCGTAATATTTCAGCTATCTTTGAGTGCATAGAACTAATGTTTTAGTGGAAAATTCTGAATTACATTTTGTGCAGTTTGCCAACTGCGACAGCTTCTATCAGAACATTGCCTTTGACCACCGCACAGCAAATATTCCACACTCTCGAACTGGCTTTCAAACTTTGCACAAAGGGCACATTACGGATGTCCCTAACAATTGTTCTGACATGTTCTCATTTCCGTTTTTCTTGTATTTAACTTTTCGTTCGACACGTTTGATGACATCAAATCGGCGCTTTGTTAACTCAAAGGTTTAAGTGTGACAAAACATAAGTAACCTCATTAATTAAACCATTGAAAAAATTGGAAGTCGTTAGTGGCTAGTTAGTTCATACTTTGAGAAATAATAAATCAGGTTTTGGTTAATTGGAGCGCAAGTGATGAGACGCACTAATTCATATTAGATCTCGAAATACATACGCGTGATAAGTCATGGGAAAACAAAAGTCCGCTTAAACCTGCACAAGTTGCGTTGTAAATATTTAAGTAAATATAAATTTCGTGCAAGTGTTTCACCGGGTATTACTGCTTTTGTTGCTAAAGCCGCTTTAAACACAGGAACAATTTTGGCTCCTAAATGATTTAGGAGCACATCAGGCCCCGGCTCACAAAACCTTTGCCCTATTATGCTGGCCGCACAATATCACAGTGCCTTTCATTTCCTAAATTTATAAAGCTGTAAGGACTTAAATAACGTTATGCCGCTAAAAGCGTTACGGACGATGAAATTTAATAATGAATCCAATTCAATGAAGAAGTGTGCACGTTTTTGCCGGCAAGTTTGCAAATTTGAAAGACTAAATCCAACTCAAGCGCTGCAGGAAACCGATCAATAAGGGCGTGGAAAATCGCCATATCTGACCGAATTTTCGCAGTAGCTGCAGGGAGCTTTGCTCTAAAAAACTTCCAATATATCATAACGCAAATGAAGCATGAGATGGGTTTAAATTAGCTGCGATTTTCCCCGAATTTCTATTCGAGTCGCCCCTCAAAACCATATCTGCAGTCTGAAATGGCCGAACAATCGTGACTTGAACATTGAAAATCAGACACTTTTAAATTGTTTGAAAAAGTTTGCTTCTGAATAATGAGTCTTGAAGTCGTCATTAAAATGTGTGAACATTATCTTAGTTTTTCCTCTGGTCTCAACATTTTCAAGCCTGCGCCTGCCTGAAGATTTTCACATTCCCGTTTAATACTTGCTCGTTCTAGTTTGATGCACCGTCCGTGAAAATCTCCATAAATATTTGAACTTGTTCATTTATAAATGGATGATGTGAAAATGTTCGGTTTCAGTATGCGAATTTGCGTTACACTGTCGTCTTTTTGTTGTCTAATTCGGACACGTTTTAACACGAAAATTTCGCCTATTTGTAGCATGCTAGACACAATCATTCTGTTCATGAATCCACAAATAGTATAAATATTGTCAGAAGCGCCGCTAAATTAAACAGAATCCCAAGCAAGATAATCAACCAGAAACACTTCAAGCAAAAATTCCCAACAGTAGGTATTTTGCTGAAATAATAAGCCCCCTTTTTCGGTACATCTGCATTGTTTTATTCGCTGTTTTAGTCCCATTTACCCATGCAGGTACGAGTTTCGGCGTGTATTTTAGCAAATTCCATGGTTAAACGGTTTAAACCGCCCGCATGTAATCAAGCAAGCCTCTCATAATTCCGCTATTTTGTTACCGAGGTAAAGTTAATCAAAGTTGCAACCAAAACGGGAGTGTTTTCATACCACACGCAGTTACTTTCTTATCCTGGATTTTACCTATTTAACCCTTATAATCGTGTTTAAGCCATTATAGAAGGTTAAAATTTGAAAAGCGCTTGAGCAAAATTAAATTGACGCCGATCAAGTAGAGAGAAATACAGAAATAATTAAAACCAGTAGTAGTGTTTACGTAAATTTTTAATTACTACTGCGTTTTCAGCGTACACCCAATTCATATTTAAATTACATTTTTCCTTGTTTACGTCCAAGTCTGCTTGAGTTGTTTTCATTATTCAACGGCTCGTTAGTCTGTCAAACATCAACATGGTCTATGTCGCACCAAAACAAAAAAATAGCCGAAATAACAAAGTACAAGGCACTGGTGAAAAACCCCAAATGTTGCTTAATAAAACTAATTCCCAACAAGCGGGGCAATTTCGAACAAAAGCGGACAACCTGCAGAATAAGGGTCGGTTCTTTATATGAAACCTCCGCTTTAGGCTAAACAATTCGGTTAATACGTTTGCCTAATTGCGTCTTAACGAGAAGCAACTCCCAGCAAGGTTTATTTTCCAAGATTAGCCCTATGGTGGTATAGAAGGTGTTGTTTGGAGATACTTGCAAATGTAATAAACATCCGGAAAATGGGACATTTCGCTTTGCTACAATTGCTGTTTTGTGGAGTGTGTCCACAATTTAGTTGGGTCCCACTGACCAATAACCATTAGGGTACTGATTTGGGGTTTTCATGTCCAGCTGCTGTGGCTGCGTTTAATAAAGCCCATTGAAACATTACACTAAATTAAAGAAATGTTTTCAGGTCGGGTTTGCATAAAATGTCTGCTTTCCATGTTGCTGGTCAGTGATTGCTCCTTTTTGAAATTGTACATCTAAGCTTTTCTTATTCTTTCCCTAGAGAAAGCAAATGCAAAAAATGTCAATGGAGATATTGAAAATTAGACAGAAATCTAATATTTGGATTGCATATTTGCATTCTTGGTTCTGATGTTGACAACAATGTTCATAATATGTAAATCTTTAGGACCACTCGATATTTTCGCGATATATTAGAAGTGGGAATTAGTTTAAAAGGTTTGTTTTCGAAAATTGAGGCTGTATTGAGCAAAACGGGTTGCAAATGGATTATTCTAAGTATCGACCATCGCTAGCCACTACTTTTTCCCATCTTTCTGTCAATTTTCGGATACCAACTCGGAAGAACAGTTAGTCTTTTGAAGCGATCCATGTATCGATCCATTTATTCGTTTCCTCGTAAGAGGTGAAGTGCCAGTCAGCGAAGGCATATGCGATCGATCGGAATAAGTAGTAATCGGACGGGGCAATATCTGGGAAATACGGCGGGTGAGGTAGAACATCCCATTTCAACGTTTCCAAGTACTTTTTGATGGGTTTTGAGACATAAGGACGAGCTTTGTCATGTTGCAAAATGATTTTGTCGTGCCTCTGCTCGAATTCCGGCCGTTTTTTCCTTCAATGCCCGGCTCAAACGCATCAATTGTGTTCGGTAGAGGTCCTCGGTGATGGTTTCGTTCGGTTTGTGCAGCTGATAATAAATTTTGCCCAACTGATCCCACCAAATACAGAGCATGAGCTTGGATCCATACATATTCAGTCTTAGCGTTGATGACGATGTGTGGCCGGGGTATCCATACGATAATTCACCTTTGGAGTTATCGTAATGGATCCACTTTTCATCGCCAGTCACGACCCGATGCAAAAAAACTTTTATTTTTTGAGCGCGCGAGCAGTTCTTGCACGTTAGAACCCGCCTCTCCGCGGCTCTCGGCTTCAGCTCGTATGGTACCCAATTTCCTAGTTTCTTAATCATACCCATCGCTTTGAGACCTTTGCCAACTGTTGACCGGTTCCAATGATCCGGACAATTCTTGAAGGGTTTGACACGGATATTCGAGGAGTAATGCCTCCAATTCTTCGTCTTCGAATTTTTTCGGCTGACCGGGACATTCCTTGCCATCGGTGTCAATATCACCACTTTTGAAGCGTCGAAACCAGTACTCACATCGATGGAGTATTACCCCCGTAAACTTCCTCGAGCAGCAAACGACTCGAAGCAGCAGTTTTCTTCAAATCGAAACAGAATCATAAAGCTTCCCGCAAATTGAGTTTATTCGGCACGAAAGTCGGCATATTGAATGGTCTTGTCATGTATGTTGTTTACATTTGCGCAAGGTGACACATATAGTATATATATAGTGTATAAATATAGTGCTTTAGCGCGAATATAGTTTTCGAGTACCCACATGCAACATACGTTTATAACGCCATTTCTTAGAAAAGCTATAAAGCTAATTTCAACTCCTAATAATTCGCCTTCAATTTAGTTACCAGCTTCTGCTGTTTTGTCCGCATTTTTCAAAGCATTGGCAGTAAATTGACCCACTAAGACTAGTTATTTAGAGTGTATTTTATTTGCAGGAATTCGTCACGTAGTGGACGCCCAAGGCTACCCAATCGACTACGGCCTGCCTAAAATGCCTTGCAGGTCTTCTTGCAGCAACGAGTCTTATTATCGGACTCTTCCTTGTAATCGGATGAAACGGCATTCGGCTGCTAATCCACTCAAAAGATATTCCAGAGAAGTGGAATTTCTTTCCCGTAGTATCGACACTCCTTATGACCATTATCACACCACAGACATTCGGTAAGTTGTAAAAAAACAGTGAACCCTTTTATGTGTTTTAACCTGAAAGTTCAATTGAGAAAAAACGAACTGGGTATATTCGGTTTGCCACAATTTAAAATTGGATTGTGCGTAATTGATTTGCTTTCAGCCATAGAAACGAATCCGCCCGAAACCAATTTCGAATCAAATTGAATACATATTTTATTAAATTATCCTGGTCCGACTGAAGGTGGACGAAGGATATATTCAGTTTTATGTTCGCGATTTCAATATCCGGAAGATAATTAAATGGGATTTTTTGCAGATACACAGCGGATGGGTATCCAGTGCCACGCCAATTAATTCCGCCTCAAGCCTCATCGCCTTCATCAGTTCCCTGTTGTTCACTGAACTGGCCGCCTTGCCTGCCTCCAAATCCTCAAAATCTACCTCAGAGTGTCTCAAAAAAGTGCGCCAGTGCACAAACGGACACTGAAGACGAGTGTGATAGCATTAGTGTTAGTGTACCAAAAAGTGATAACGTTAATGCAAACGCGCCAAATGAAAACGCCAACGACCTTTTAACTGAGAGTCCCGATGAGGGCTACGAGGGTGAACCGAGCGTGATATAGACTCTTCATACATCAAAGCGGAATTTGTGATGAATTTAAGTGACGTTGGTGGTAAGAACTGCAATTTGTAAGGTGGAATCAGCGGAGATACAAATCAATTAACTTCATGTAGTTTTTAACATTTTCAGTTTTAACATGAACAGAACGAACTTGTTGCCCAGAGTTACTGGCTTCAGACGGAAGTTTGAATTTCATATACGCAGTTTCCTACTGAAACATAAAATAATCGAAAATGTAAAATAACAAAAACAACAAATTTCATTGGCCTGTTTTGCAAATTTAGAATGTAAAAACACACAAAGTGAAACTATTTTCCTTAAAATGTGTATTAAATAAATTAATCGGGTCTCACATAAATTGGTCCCAACTCACAAAGAAAACCGTTGAAAACTTTCAATAGTAAAACGCTGAAATGGAGTTCGATGATGCATCATAATGCACATTTAAATTGAAATCTTATGACTTCGTTAACGCATGGACAGTCTAAGCTAACTGTTTGCATTTAATTAAATCCATGCAATATTCAAACAACACCAATCGCTTTATGCCGGGACATTTGAACTCATGTCCACTCAAGTGTTTGGTAAATCGGAGCACAGTGAATTGAGCACGCGGATTTGGATGTTGAATAACCAGGACGAAATTTGACGAAAGAAAAAATTAATTCCTCAAATTTTTCAGTCGTCAGAAAACGAAAATGTGTACATAAATCACAGAAAACAAATTTTATCTCATAATAACGCGAAAAAACATTAACCAATCCCCTTTGGTTATTTAGTGATCGTAAACTTTTCAAACTGCCATAACAGAAATACCCATTGGATTCCTTTGATGTGAGATTATCAACTTGTGTTAGAAGAACGTAAAAAACAGCAATAAGCTCGAGGAAAACAATAGGCGTCTTATAAGATGAATAACTGAAAATGTTATTTTGAAGACATCTACAAGAACGCGAAATAAAACAATTTAGTATTAAAGATGCAAGTTGATTCTTTGTGAAAACATCTCATCCTTTCATATATTTGAAGCCTTAGCTCTCTGCTGTCTTTTAGTATCTCTGTTAGTCTCTTATTCATTCTTTTTCGGTTTGTATATTTAAAACTGATGGATAAATAAGCAGGAAGGAAGCCTAGAGAACTGAATTTTCCTTTGGAGATCTGAAACCAACAAGGAAGTTGCAGCACTCTAATCCCGCATGGATTTCAGAACGGCGCTTTGTTAAATTGTATCCCGAGGGATCGTATTTTATTTCGCTTTGTCCCAGGTTTACTATGAAAAAACTGCTGAAACTTAAAAACGGCAACTCCCTGCACAACTAAATTAAAATTGAATGTAATATACATTTTGTATGTAATAAAATGAACAGGGTCATATATGTACTCGTATACTGTGTAATAGATAGAAAAGTGTACATACTGACTTACTTTTGTAAAAATCATTAGGCAACCACTCAATATACTTACAGTTTTTCTTCACTGGTATCTACGGTTTATCTGAGCCAGCACTAAAAGTCCTACATTCCTCTCATGCGAATAGACCCAGAGCAATAAACGATAATAGATCAAAGTTAAGTGAAAACCGTAGGTTTGTACATTATTTAGAAAATATGTTATCGGTAGTTATCTAACATTTAGAAACTAAATGTATATCGCACACGTAAATGTTAGTAGGTCAGTCTAGATACTTGTTATACAAAGTCTCGGTACTAGCGAAACTATTAGAAAATTTGTTTTCTATAGTTTAAGTTTTCAGTGTTATTAGGTTTTACAATAAAGTGTATTTTGTACAAGATGACGTGTAATTTATTGGGTTTTTCCTCAGTGTCCCTCTAGTCAGTTCAACGGGAAAACGTTTCAAAAGTTTCGAGCAGCCCGAGCATTCCAGTTTATATTTACTCACGGTCAATGCATGAACAAATTTTGTTCACATGAACAATATAATTGGAAAATGTTGACTAGAGGCAATTTTAGTCACGGAATCTTTGCAAGAGGTTTTTTTCATTATTTGGAACAAGCGAATTTACCAGAAACCAGTTTTTTCCTAAGCGAACAATTTCAATTTCTAAATTCTCCCGATTTTTGGCGGTTAGGCGACAGGGTTCATTTAAAAATTAATTTATCAGAAACGGCAAAAGCGAGAAAATCTGAGACTCTGGCATCGTAAAGCCCGAAGTGCGCTAAATAGGATGGGATGGCTAGACAAATTTTCGAAATAGTCCTGATTTTTTGGCATTAATTTTGCAGGGGCTTGTTTAAAAATTAATTTGCCAAAAAAGGAAAACAGCTTGCAATTTTCCGGCTCTTGTCCCGTATAGCCGAAAGCCTATTTTATATCTCCTTTAAATAGTAGTAATATTTGTCATATTGAAGGATTTTTCAAAGATTTTTTACATTAGCAAAACAATTTTGTTGCTTGCTCTTTAAATGGCCCAATATTTTTACAGAAGCAAATTTCAGTATAATCACTATGTATGACCTCAGCTGAGACGACGTGACGAATAATAAATAAACTAATAAATAGACAATAAAGTTTAGAAAAGTTGAACTTAATTGAACACATATTACAAGCTCTTCAAAGGTTTATTCTGGAAAACAAATAATCTTTAACATGTAAAATGAAAAAGGCAATGAAAGCGTGGAAAGTAATACCACACACGGGTTTCCAAGGCATATTCCTTGTAAAACACGTAACCTCCTTTAGAGCTTAAAGAGTAAAGTTTCTGAACTTCTATGTAAAGAAGTTTCATTTCCATCGCTTTTCAGAAGAAAATGGCATTTTTTGTTGAATCCCGGTGAATCCAGAATGTTTCTTCCTGGCAGTGTTGGTATCAATAGCCCTAAGACAATGCTTCCATCAACACGAAGTTTTTGTTTAGACTTTGGGTATTAGTTAAAGTTGGTAATTAATTTTTCCGGCAAGTCCAGGAAGTATTTCTCTGACACGCCCGATGAAACTCTCTGACCCTCCGGGTTTCACTGACATTAAATAAATTAGAGCCGAGAAAGCGGAAATAATTCTCGACAAAAGAATTGTGGATTTTTGAAAGGGGATTTAATATTAGGTGAATCTACGCAAACTCGGATAGACATATCTTATTGTGCCCTGGTTTCGATTTACTGGCTTATTAAGATTGTATTTTTAAGCTGAACTCTCCAGGCCAAAGTTTCTAACCCTATCTGTTAGTCCGAAGCTCTAACTCCATTTTGAGAATCATTGTTATTGCAAAGGCTCAGTAAACAACAAAGTTTTAATCAAGAATTTCCATATTTAAATTGGTAAACTTTTGCCGCCGAGAATAAAGTAGGTTACGAATTTTTTAGCGAGCCAGTTTACAATACCCTTTTATTTGTTCTTTTGTATTTCTATTTAAGATGCTGGTTTTTGGGCCCTTTGTTTTCGCTCATTTTAGATATTGGTTTAGCTTTGCCAGTCGTTGGTTTAATCAAAGCAAAGTTTGGCGGAAATTATCTAAACTTAATTTTTGGAATTTGAAATGTTTTGCTCGCAGATCTATCTTTAGCAAATTGAGTTGAATTTTGAAAGCAAATTTGTTTCCTCTCAAGCGCTTTATTTCATAATCTAGATCCAACACTTTCTTTAATTGGAATCAGTTATGGTTAAAACGTCTGCTACAGAACATCGCTTTGGATATTCAAGTAGATAAAAAATAACTCGTTCTACTCGGAATTGTATTAATGGCAAACCTAGAAGCTGAGTCGTTGTTTAGGATAAACAGTTGTCGAGTTATTGTTAAGTAAAACCAGGAAACCGTCCCCATTTACCCGAGTCTGTAGAATGCAAAACATTTAACCGGGATAAATGTGCAGCAAACGCAATATTTTTCCTATAATCCAAACCTCGCTCTAGATCAGTGCCCGGGAGAATTGTTACCACGCTCCCCTGAAACTGAAACTTGGGATATTTGTCACGATTTCCGGAATTGTGCTCTGTAAGGAAAGTTTTAAGTTTGTCAGTGATAAGTATTACTATCCTCGGATAAAGCCCATAAACTGGGGAAGAAGTTTAGTCTATTTAATGCTATGATTTGTGATATGGGGGCTTATTTCAATGCCAACAACCTTTACCATTGTGTAATGGGAATTTATGGCAGTCTAAACTCGGTAGTAACAACTGGTTTCACTTAGCAAGAGAAAAGGTAGATGATTAATATTGAGGTTTCCTATTTGGCAGATTATTGCTTTTGAAGGAATAACCTGTATTTTTCATTCGGGTTCTGCTTTGTGTATGTTTCTATCGAAATCTAACTATCAAGATTTATACTCTTTTCTAGGCCTGATGTTCCTCACTGTTGTATGTTGTATTGCCAATAAAGTTTGAACGGCAATCAAAACCTTAGATTTTTCAAAAGCAATACCTTCTAGAACTAAGCAAACAAAAAATTCTGCAAAATTTTTAGTTAATTTTTTAATAGTTGGAAATATTACTTTCGCCGCTTTGACGCCAATGCGCCCAATCACCCTATATAAGGAAAATCTCATTTTCTGCAGAGAAAGTTCAAAACTTTCAGTAGTCTGTCCAAAAGGATCAGGAACCTCACAGTAACTTAAATTCTTCTGGCTGCTCAAAGTCACGCTCCAAACAATCCAACTCCGACAACGATCTTACGGAGAAGTTTTTTTCTCCGCCCCCCAAAGTATTTAGAAGTTTTTATTCAGACCGACGCCATTTATCATATTATTATTCTTATCACTGTAGCTGCTTTATTTCAGTCTTATATTCAACGTGACATCCGATTAATGATACTTTTGGGTAATATCGTCTGCGAATGGATCTTGGTTTTTTGTTTCAAGCAAAAACCGATTTCTGTTCAGTTCGGAAAAGTCGAAATTCAGATTGGGTGAAAGTGTGTTTGCTTGCTCGCGGTTGATCGCCCATCTAGTGATTCGGATAATAAAATATCATCATCTACATTCATATCTTCAAAAACCCACAGCATTTCCCATCACGTCCTCCACATAAAAATAATCCACGCCCTCCATCCACTGTTCTTTCATTTTCACCTATTTCAAGATTCCCGTTAAGTTATTCCACATTGTCGCGAGGCTTCCGCTCTCGACGAGGTACTCAGGGTATTTTACACGTGAGCCCCTATAATGGATCACATATATTCCAGCACACGACCCAACACCACCATTTTGACAGTGATTTATATCCTCTTTAAACCCAGCTGGCCGTTGTTTTGTGTGTGGACTACACTCAAGAATAACGATTCAATAAAGGCAGATTATTCGGCGAAAGAATGGTCATTTAGCAGGACCATTTATAAATGATCAATTGTCTGTGACTCGGCAAAACTCAATTAGAACTGCACAGTATTACTTCAACCACTACTTGATTCAATTTTTTCGAGGAGCCGTTTAAAATGAAGCCAACAAAAACTTTTGCACACAACACATATTTTCCCATTTTCAACTGCTAATACATAATCCTATTTATTATAGACGAACATAAATCTGCTAATCCATAAATCAGATTCAATCTCGAAACCCATCAATTCAACCAAATTATGCCAAATTGGTAGAATTTAATCTTTTAATCTGACAAATTCCCGTTTCAGGTCCGCATGTTTCAAATATTTCATAAGCATGATGGCAGTGTTATTTTTATTGAGTAACGACAAGCCAATTTTAAATTGTTTTGGTCGACCTGGAAAGCAAAGTCTTTCTGGATTATTTTTTAAAACCAATTTAGCTATGGCAGTTGATTAATTTTTTCCATCGCTTCCAAAATATTTTCCCGTTTTTTGTTGTGTTATGACAAATGGAAATCCAGCCACATGGTTATGACAACAGTAAAATCGTTTCAATATCGTCCCGTTTTAAGGCCTCTAAAATCTTCGAAAAAATGTACATGTTTTCGCAAAGCTGCAAGATGTATCGCCACAATATCAAGTCGTATTTCTCGTTTGCGGCTTGTCTGAATCACGGCCATATTAATCTCTCTCTGGATGAAATTTCGTATATGGAGTTAATTAACCAAAGAAAGGGAAATTTTGTCGGCGTGTAAAACTATTCAGTTTTAATATTGCCTCAATTAATTTTCGCTCGGAATTTTCCACCCTTTCCAGTTTATTTAATTTCACCAAGAAGTCACTGGTTTAAATTATGTTGTAAAACGGCCAGAAGAAAACATTTTCGATGACTTAGACACGCAAATCAATTTGAATTAGGATAACTTGTTGCTAATGGGGAGCACTATTAAAATACCTTTAAAATATAAGCTAAGAGAATGATTTAATTGACAACGTGTTCGGACTTTGCAAACATTTAACATCCTGGGGACATACAGGATGCGACATTTGATTAGGTACTTTCACCTAATTATTTTTACTAATTTTTAATAATGCTAAAACTTTTCATTAGTAAGCTACGTCAAACACCAGATTAAAGATTTTAACAATATTTGTGTTACAATTTCATATCATGCATTTAATTTTTTTGTAAAGCAAATGTTGTAATTTTTGAGGAGACACTTGATTACTCTCATATTTTGGAATTAACCTAGAACACAACATTTAAACCTAATACTTAATATTTGGTATGCCCTCCCTGCTTCTCAATGACTGCTAACAATAAACATTCGATGAGGCACTGAATTGAATACATTTTCTATTAGATTCACTGAAACTTCGTCCCAGGCTGCTCTAACTGCGGCGATTAATTATTATCTATTCTTAAACCAGCTTCCTTCAGTATAAACACGTTTGACCAACCAACCGCATAAGTTTTCTATGATATTTGAGTCTGGGGAAATAGCAGGCCAGTCCAGAA